CATTTACATTATTGCGTGACTGTTACCACTGTTCCTGTGTGGCACTTTTTCTTCTTCCCAAATTGGAACTCTGAAACCACTGAGCACTGATTACCCCACTCCCCTCTGTCTGCTGCCTCCCCCCCGCCACAAATGGGACGATTCTGGGATCCCCACACAGTGCAAGTATACCTTTGCCTGTTTGTTTCTTGCGTATTTCACTTGGCGTATGGTCTTCAGGGTTTATCCATGATGTAGCATATGTCAACATTTCCTTCTTTTGTAAGACTGAATAAAATTCCACTGTTTGTACCTCATTATGCCCATCGTTCTACCTGCCAATGGATACATAGATTGCTCCCACCTGTTAGCTATTATGAATAATAATAATAATGCTAGGAACAATAGGGAACCAGCTTGCCTCCTTGCTTTCAGTTCTTCTGGGTATAAACTAAAGGTGATACTTTTAACTGATGCTAATTCTTGTATTAAAGACTGAAGAGAGAAATTACTATTGATTTCCTTCTCCCTCTCCCTGCAATTAGAATAACGATCGCTTGTGACCAATGGAAATCAATTTGGTAGAGTCAGTTGTGACGGAGATATCGACGTTAAACCAGAGTAAATGTGGTGGATACTCCCAAATTAATACTTTTGTTCTGTGTCCTTTTGACACAATCTAGGAAGTACTTTACCATGACATGAACATTCAAACTTCTTGAGCCAGGGACCAAATAAAGCCTTATTTATTTACTTTTTCGGTCTAGTTACTGGAATGTTAACTCTGTAAGGGCAGAAGGGAGTCTGTTTTGTTTGCCTCTGTATTTTCCACACACCAGGAATACAATACAGATTTTCTTAAAAAAAGTGAACTTTGAAACAGTCTGTAAGCATATTAGATATGCCACTTCAGAGCATATATACACAGCTTTCTTTTATTATCACTTATACAGCACAAATTGTTTCAATAATGTTCTCATTGTATTGCCTTACCTTAGCATGTTTTAGTAACACCCTTAATCCACTATCTGTATTTTAAGCTAGTAAGTATATTCAATTTACCAGTATATTTTATTTTTTTAAATGTTTATTTATTTATTTTTGAGAGAGAGAGAGAGAGAGCGAGCATGAATGGGAGGGGGGCAGAGAGAGGGGAGACACCGATTCCAAAGTGGGCTCCAGGCTCTGAGCTGTCAGCACATAGCCCAGCGCGGGGCTGGAACCCATGACTTGTGAGTTCATGACCTGAGCTGAAGTCAGACACTTAACCAACTGAGCCACCCAGACGTCCCTAAAATTTTTGTTAATGTTTTTTTATTTTTGAGAGAGAGAGAGAGAGAGAGAGAGAGAGAATAAACAGGGGAAAGGCAGAGAGAGGGGGAGACACAGAATCCGAAGCAGGCTCCAGGCTCCGAGCAGTCAGCACAGAGCCCGACGTGGGACTCGAACTCACAGACCGTGACATCATGACCTGAGCCCAAGTCAGATGCTCAACTGACTGAGCCAAAGGCATCCTGATTTACCAGTACATTTTAAAGTCTCATCTTACTTAGTCAATTCTACAATACATCTCCTCTTTCCCTTCCTATAATACACAATTTTTTAAAATTGAAAATGTATTATTATGCATTTCCCGATGAACTAAAGGAAATGAACTTGCACGTAGAGTAGATGCAGTGTTGCTGCCCCCTGCTTCACAGACAGTGGTGTGAAAGCCTCCTTCCCAGTCGTGGGCTGCTTCCCTGTTTGCTAAGTGGTCTCTCCATCAAACCCCGGAGCCTGGCGGACCCAGAATCTTGCTGTTTCCAATAAGATTTTTGCTGCTCTACTTGTGAATTGAAAAGAAGTCTTTAGCTCACTCCCACTCTGATTAAACTGGGAAAGGAGAAGATTCCAGGCGTCAAGGCTAAAGGCAGCTCTTGGAAGTGTCCACCGGCTAAGATTTATCACTCCCACCACCTCCCGAGCTCCTGCCTCCAATCACTGTTCCAGGGAGCGCATTCTCCTTTTGGGGTTTGGCTTCCTGTGCTTCCTCTGCTGAGACTCTCCGCCCCATTTAAAATTTTTTTTTTTTTCAACGTTTTATTTATTTTTGGGACAGAGAGAGACAGAGCATGAACGGGGGAGGGGCAGAGAGAGAGGGAGACATAGAATCGGAAACAGGCTCCAGGCTCTGAGCCATCAGCCCAGAGCCTGATGCGGGGCTGGAACTCAAGGACCGCGAGATCGTGACCTGGCTGAAGTCGGACGCTTAACCGACTGCGCCACCCAGGCGCCCCTCTCCGCCCCATTTAAGCTTCACTTTGAGAAAATGTAACCACCCCTGGGGGCCACTCAAATTCTTCATCCTCTGGGGAGCATTCAGTTCCTTCACCAAGTGAAATGTCTCCTCCTTTGAGTCCACAGGGCAATTTGTGCTTTCCTAGATGGCTTGATTATCACAGCACATGTTTGCGCCAATACAGTGTTAAAGTCCCTGTCCCTCCTTCTCTCTCTCTTCCCCTTTCTCCCCTCCTGCCCCCCCTTTTCTCCCTCCCCTTCCTCTTTCCATCTCCCTTTACCTCCCTCTCTCTCCCTCTCTCTCTTCCTTTTCTCTCTCTCTCTGCATCTGCAACAGCCTTGCCATATTAAACAAGCCCCCCCCCCATCATAAAATCTCTAAAAAGATGAGAGTTAAAGGTGAATTCTTGATTTCTGATACCACAGTACATGGGGGAGGGATGGGGACCTCCCATCCTTTTGTTAGGAACAAAACCTCAGGACCAATCTTGATTTCCTCTAATGCCCCACACATAATCCATCAGCAAAGCCTTTTGGCTGTCTTTGACTCCCTTGTGACCACTGCCCCAGCCTACCACTGTGGTTCAGTCCACTTTCAAGTCTCTCCTGGAAAGTCATGTGTTGGCCTGTCTACTCTTGTTTGAAAACACTGCTAACCACCCCCACTCCAACCTGCCCAACATCCAGGATAATCCTTTTATACTGGATTATGTCATGCCTCTGAACAAAACAGTTCAAAGACTTCCTTTGTAACACATCTAGGAGAACCCCCATATTCTAGTCCTGGGCTATGTTCCCAATCTCCTCTCCAACCAGCCTTCCAGCCATGCTGACCTCTCAGTCCATCTAGCTTTAGGGACCTGACAGCATAATGAACAGAATGTATCTTACCTAGAAATCCACACGTCATGCCCTTGACCACATGACCACATGACTATAATTAAGCTATTAAATAGCTACTGATTTTATCAATCATTTGTTTCTTACACCAGTTTTTCCATATTAATAAGGTGTTAACTTTGATTTTATTTGTTTGATTGTTTTTTGAACTGCTGTATGTCAATTTCTAGGACATTACATAAGGACATAAGTACTCAAAAAATATTGACTAAGTGAACAGAATCAGTCAACAGTTCTTGGGACTAAAGTGTAAAATACAATAAAAATAAACTCTTTGGAGTTGCTTTGTACTTGCAAATCATAATGTGGTTTAGACATGATGAGAACAACCCTTTCATGGACCATTTTGAGTTATAAGTGGTGATTCCCATCAGGGGTCAGTGTATGAAGCAGCTATTTCGCAGGCACAATACATGTGCGCATTTGCTTGGTTGGCTTTTCCTCCTTCATACTTGGTGTGCAGAACATGGAAAAACCATATGTAAGAAGAGTTCTAATCATATGGTTCTGGTACACAAAGAAAAAGGCAACTGATCACGAGCGGGATTTGCTCAGGAAAATTTAGGTTTTCTGTGTGCCCATTAATAGTTTTTAAAAATATATTCCTAAAATACTTTCAGAAAAATAACTATAATTAAGCATCTAAAATGCACTAGCCTGCAAACTTTTCTCCCTGTGTAATACAATATCAATTTATTTTTCAGTAATAAAATTAGTACATCTTTATGTACTGCTGGCCATTTACAAAATCTTTCAACATTTTTGATGATAACTAAGTGGAGAAAAGTGAAAAAATTATCAACGTTAATCTTGGATATTGTACTTTTTAAAAATTCAAAGTAGATTTTCTACTTTTTCTGACATATCTGAGTTTTCTTTAACTTTTGGTAAAGTGTAAAATTAGTAGTCCTGTGTTTAATTACGATTTTAAATTTTAGAAAAATATTGCACAAAAAATTATTTATTAAATTATTTCTTCTTTTTAAAATTTTTTTTGAGGTTTATTTATTTTTGAAAGAGAGAGACAGACCCCGAGCAGGGCAGGGACAGAGAGAGAGAGGGAGACAGAATCCAAAGCAGCTCCAGGCTCTGAACTGTCAGCACAGAGCCCAACACAGGGCTCAAACCCACAAAGTGCAAGATCCATGACCTGAGCCAAAGTCAGACACTCAACCAACTGAGCCATCCAGGCGACCACACATTATTATATCTTCTACTAGGAAATGGGAATTTTATATTCACCACTAGAAACTCCATTCTGCAATCTTTGGGGCTATCCTGAATTAAACCTATTGAATGCCTGTATGGAGGCATAAAAATCTACTAGGAGATATACATTTTACTGATTTAATATCTTTTTCAATGTAAATTAAAAAAAAATTTTTTTTCAATGTATTTATTTCTGAGACAGAGACAGAGCATGAGTGGGGGAGGGCAGAGAGAGAGAGGGAGACAGAGAATCAGAAGCAGGCTCTAGGCTCAGAGCTGTCAGCACAGAGCCCCATGCGGGGCTCGAACTCATGAACTCAAGATCATGGTCTGAGCCGATGTCGCTCGCTCAACTGACTGAGACACCCAGGTGCCCCTCAGTGTAAATTATCATAAGTAATTTTTCCTGTTTTTGTAGTAAAAATAAAACATAAAAGTTCCATAGTACGAGCCTCATAATTAATCTGTATTTAGCTTGGCTACTTAAACTCATGTATCTCCGAGTTTCAGACTTTTGTTTAAACCACATGAATACTGAGTGCTTACTCAGTTAATGCAAACTGCATGGTTACAGTTTACCTGTAATCTGAGCTCTTTACCTGAGCTCTGTGTCTTAATAAAAGTCCTCCTACCTTAACTCTGAGCACAGAAGTAAACATTCTTGCATCTTCAGACACACCTCCAATGTAGAATTTTTTCTGAAACACTGGGGGATGATCATTTTCATCCTGAATTTCAATATACACTTTAGCCGTATTGCCTGGAGGATAAGAAATAATATATTTTTAATTGGTGGCTATTTACTAGAAAAAAATTTCACTGGAGTAAATACTTATTGTATTTTTTTTTTTGGACTGAAACAATGGAAATGGCTTATATCAGAAAGTCATTCCCAAATGGCAAGTCTAATACCCCGAGTTCCACAGAGGTCACTGAAAATGTTGCTTCCGGCATAATAATGTGAAGTTGCTATTTCTTTTAATTACAATGTCTTGGTAATTCATTTTACTTGATTTAATAGGCACTAAAGTATTGTGTTCTACTAATTTCAATGAAACAATTCAACTGCTCATGTTCACAAACACTTCCCATACACTACCAATGACACCAAAGTGACAAATTTATAAACACCTTATGAAATAATATAAACTGACATAAACTAAAACAATATTTGTTTATTCTTAAGTGTAAAACTAGCAACGATAGTCTCTCAGTTTAATAATGTACAATATGTATATATTTTTAATTTTAGGGTTGAAAGTAACCAATAGTTGAGGAGGGGAGCCAAGATGGGGGAACAGCATGGAAGTTTTTTGTGTGTCTCACGTCCATGAAATATAGCCAGACCAACACTAGACCATCCTGCACACCTAGAAAACGGACTGGAGGATCAACACAACAATCTGCACAACCTGAACGAAAGAAGTCAGCAGGTACGCGGTGCGAACAGGTGAATTTGGGGAGCGAGAAGCCGCGAAAGGTAGGGAACAGCTTTTGAGGGCGGAGAGAGGTGGGGGGCGTGGGGGTCGGGGAGAATACGAAAAAAGCACCCCTCCACAAAAGCAGCTGGAGAGAAAGTGGAAAATTGGAAACAGCCGCAGGGACTTAACTAAAAAGGGAGAAAGGAGAGGGTTTCAATTCCATTAAGACTGTAAACAAGGGGGACGCAAAGGCTGCAACTCCGCAACTCCCTACCTGGCGGTGCTCTGATGGGAAGGGCGAATCCCCAGGAGCAGGGTGGGGTCCGGGAGGTTCTCGGGCCACACGGGGAAAAGCGGTTCCACTGCTGGAAGGACATTTGCTGGAGACTGTTGAAGCCCCCTGGTCCCGGCAGACCCCAGAAAACGGCCACATTCGCTGGGGCTGGAACAAGCACCCTCGTTAAGGGTGAAGCCTGGTGCCAGATGCGTGTTGTGAGTTTCCATCATCCCTGAAAAGCATCTGCTACACCATCTCGCAAACTTTCTCTGGGGTGGGCTGGCACCCGGCCGCAGTCTCAGGGCACCGGCAGCAGCAGGGTCCCGCAAGCTTTCCTGGGTGTGGCGGACACTCGGCCATTGCTCCTTCGGCCATTGCTGGGTGAGACCCTCCCGCAGAGGGCGGAACGGGCCAAAGCCGCGGTCCTTCAGAAGTAAGGGGCCGGGGAAAACAGCCGTGTCTGAGACAGAACTCAGGAGAGAGGTACTGCCCGGGGCCTGGTCACGGACAGTGAGAAAGCGGGGCATGGCCGAGGGCTGAAGACGGAGAACAGACCAGGTAGGTGGCTGACGCCATTTGCACTTCTGCCGCGCATGCGCATACGCACCCAAGAGCGCCGCAACACTCCACCCCAGAAGGCGAGCAGCGCCACCTGGTGGAGGACCGAGCCGTTACACTGAGCCCCGCCCAACTGGGCCAACCTCCCTCCTTGAACACAAGTCTCACTGCCGGCTTAGTTTATGGACTATAAAGCGCTTCAGAGTCTGACTTCTGGGGAAAACAAAGTCATTTCAGTCCTATTTCAATCTGTTAGCAGGTCCACGTATTCAATTTTCTTTCTTTTTTTTCTCTTTTACACTTCTTGTTCTTGAATACAGAAAGAGAAAATTTCATTCTTATTTTTAATTTTTATTAAATATTTTTCTTTAATTTTTATTACTATATTTTTTTAATTTTGTGTAATTTTTTTCAAATTCTATTTTACTTCCATCATTTTATTTTAGTCTACATCAGTGTATTCACCTTTTCAAATTTTCAAACGATTTTCTTCTTTTTTTTTCTTTTTTCTCTTTTATGTTTCTTTTCTTTTTCTTGAATGCAGAAAGAGAAACACTTCACTTTTACTTTCAATTTCTATTAAAAATATTTTTCGTAAAATTTTTTACTGTATTTTTTGATTTTATGTAAATTTTTTCAAATTCCATTTTACTTTCATTTTATTTTAGTCTACTACTGTGTATTCACTTTTTCAAATTTTCAAATGATTTCTTTGTTTTATTTCTCTTTTTTGTCTTTTTTGCTTCTTTTCTTTTTCTTGAATACAGAAAGAGAAAAAATTCATTTTTATTTTTAATTTTTATTAAAAATATTTTAATTTTTTCTACTATATTCTTTACTTTTATGTAAATTTTTCAAATTCTATTTTACTCCCATCATCTCATTTTAGTCTACTTCAGTGTATTCATTTTTTCAAATTCTCAAACGATTTCCTTTTTTTCTCCCCTTTTTTTCTCTAATCTGTCAAACGACTTTCGATACCCAGACCAAAACACACCTAGGATCTAGCATCATTTGTTAGATTTTTGTGTGTGTGTTTTTTTTAAGTTTTAATTTTTCTACCTCATTAACTCCTTTTCTCCTTTCAAAATGACAAAACAAAAGAATTCACCCCAAAAGAAAGAGTATGAAGAAACGGCAGCAAGGGATTTAACCAACACAGATACCAGCAAGATGTCTGAACCAGAATTTAGAATCACGATAATAAGAATACTAGCTCAAGTTGAAAATAGATTAGAATCCCATTCTGTGGAGATAAAAGAGGTAAAAAATACCCAGAATGAAGTGAAAAATGCTCTAACTGAGCTGTAATCACGGATGGATGCAGCGGCAGCAAGGATGGATGAGGCAGAACAGAGAATCAGCGACAGAGAGGACAAACTTACAGAGAATGAGGAAGCAGAGAAAAAGAGGAGATTAAGTCAAAAGAGCATGAGTTAAGAATTAGAGAATCAGTGACTCATTAAATGGAACAACATGAGAATCATAGGGTGTTGCAACCGGCGCAACAAACACCGAGATCAGGGTCCTGAGGGTAGGGGAATGTAAGAAAAAAAAGAAGAGAAGACAGGAGGGAACAGGAGGGTCCCCTGGGCTGATGGCCCAAGTGACGGCTTTATTGTTGCTGTACACAATCTTTTATATCAAGACTCTTATGGGTCAGGCCATTCTAAGAATAAACAGGTTTCACATGATCGCTGCCAACCAAAACATTTAGTTCTGTGTACCTTGTGAATTTTCTAAACGGGTCACAGCAAGACCTTGTTGATAAGATTGCTAGCAAAACACAGTTCCCATGTTTGTTTCTATTTGACCGGGGGTAGAAAAAGGGGAGGTAACATTACTGCCAACACCCACAGACCACAGGCTTCAGGAATTAACTTTCTCAGCCTTGACAAGGCTTTCGTATGCCCATGAAAGTGGGGGAATGGGAGGGGGAACCACCGGGTTGGCTGAGTCAACAGGGAGCCGTTGCTCGACCGGGTCTCAGCCCGGCACTGGGGCCCGGCCTCCCACAATAGGGATCCCAGAAGAGGGAGGGAGAGAAATAGGGGTAGAAGGGTTATGTGAGCAAATAATAGCACAAAACTTTCCTAACCTGGGGAAAGACACAGACGTCAAAATCCAGGAAGCACAGAGGACCCCCATTAGATTCAACAAAAAACGACCATCAACAAGGCGTACCATAGTCAAATTCACAAAATTCTCAGGCAAGGAGAGAATCATGAAAGCAGCAAGGGAAAAGTATTCCCTAACCGGCAAGGGAAGACAGATCAGGTTTGCAGCAGACCTATCCACAGAAACTTGGCAGGCCAGAAAGAAGTGGCAGGATATATTCAATGTGCTGAATCAGAAAAATAGGCAGCCAAGAATTCTTTATCCAGCAAGGCTATCATTCAATATAGAGGGAGAGATAAAAAGTTTCCCAGGCAAACAAAAATTAAAGGAGTTTGAAACTAGCCCTGCAAAAAAATTTTAAGGGGGACTTTCTGAGAGGAGAAAAGATGAAAAAAAAAAATATATATATACATAAATACCAAAAGCAACAAAGATTAGAAAGGACCAGAAAACACCACCAGAAACTCCTACAAGCATCATACCAGCAGTAATTCATATCTTTCAGTACTCTAATCATCGGTGGACTCAATGCTCCAATCAAAAGACATAGGATAAGAGAATGGATAAGAAAAGAAGATCCATCTATATGCTGTTTACAAAAGACCCACTTTAGACCTAAAGACACCATCAGATTGAAAATAAGGGGATGGAGAGGCATTGTGGGAGGGGGGATGGGCTAAATGGGTAAGGGGCATTAAGGAATCTACTGAAATCAATGCTTCACTATATACTAATTTGGATGTAAATTTTAAAAAATAAAAAATAAAGTTAATAAAAAAAGAAAATAAGGGGATGGAGAATGATCTTTCGTTGCTAATGGTTGCTAATGGTTGCTAATGGTCAACGAAAGAAAGCCAGAGTAGCCATACTTATATCAGACAATCTAGACTTTAAAATAAAGAGTGTATCAAAAGATGCAGAAGGGCATTATATCATAATCAAGGGGTCTATCCACCAAGAAGACCTAACAATTGTAAACATTTATATGTCAACTGTGGGGGCACCCAAATATATAAATCAATCACAAACATAAAGAAACTCATCGATAGTAATACCATAATAGTAGGAGAATTCAATAGCCCAATCACAGCAATGGACAGATCATCTAATCAAAAAATCAACAAGGAAACAATGGCTTTGAATGACACACTGGCCCAGATGGACTTAACAGATATATTCAGAACATTTCACCCTAAAGAGCAGAATATACATTTTTCTCTAGTGCACATGGAACGTTCTCCACAATAGACCATATACTGGGACACAAATCAGCCCTAGGTAAGTACAAAAGATCAAGATCATACTGTGCATATTTTTAGACCACAACGCTATGAAACTCGAAATCAACCACAAGAAACAATTTGGAAAGGAAACAAATACTTGGAG